CTTCTTCTCCAGTCTGATCTATTTCTTTCTAGAACCAGGCTTCAGCAATCCCGATGTGGGTCGTAGGATTTCAGATGCACCAGGCTTCCGCTGTACTCACACCATCCCCAGAAGAATTGGAGATGGTGGGTTAAGAGTGGCTGTGATTGCCTTTTATTTCTCTTGACTATGTCATAAAAAGGGCAACTCAGGGTGTTGAAATGCTGCCTTTAAAATGTGATGGTTCTGAGTGCCAGTGGCTCCTGCCTGTAATCCTAGCTACTCAGGAGGCAGAGATCAGGAGGATCGCGGTTCAAAGCCAGTCCAGACAAATAGTTCTCGAGACCCTATCTCAAAAAACCTTCACAAAAAAAGTCTGGTGGAGTGGTTGAAGCAATAGAGCTCCTGCTTGGCAAGTGTGAGGCCCTGAGTTCAAGCCCCAGTGCCACTAAAATCTGTTGGAACATTTAAGCTTCAAACTGACAAAGCTTAAAAATAATATCTGTCTAATATTACCTACTTTATGTAGGGGCACTTCCACAATGCCACCCAAGAGCAGGAACCTAAAATGGGTAACTTCAGGACAATGTAGCAATATGAATAAAATCCACCAGACTTTTTTTTAAGACAGCAGCTGAGGAAGCACAGGAAGACTGAGCACCAGCAGAGGTAACGCAGTGTTTTGTGCGGAAGTCATTAGGGTTGTTCACTGATAACTTTGGTCCCTCTTCCTCCCACGGACGTCACTGATGGTACTTCCTGTCCCACTGATGTTAGGATGTGACTCGCTTTGGTTAATATGAGAAGGACTGAAGGTCGATGCATTGTTAGCATACAGAATTCTTCAGGAATCAGGGCACACTTCTTCACCTTCTCCTGCCTTTCCCATGGTGAGCTGGTCCCGTTCCTGACCCTGACACAGAGGCTCCATCACAGTTCTGTGTCCTTGAATTGGAGGCTGACCTTGAGCAAAGTCCTCAGTCACTGAGGATGAGCGGAGGAAGCAGGGGTTCCAGCCTAGGGCCGTTGACATGGAGATTGGAGAATTCTTTGTCGTATGTGGGGGAAGGGTGCCGGTAACACTCTTCTCAGTTGTGACAACCAACAGCATTTACAGACTTTGCCAAATGTCCCCAGGTTAGGAGTTGGGGAGGGTCCAAATAGGCGCTGGTTGAAAGCCACTGATACAGAGGAAGAAAGAAACCTCCTTTGCTATTTTAAGCCACCGAGATGGTCAGGTTGTTTTTAAAACTCAAATGGATATGTTTTATTATAGCAAACACAATATAAATTAACTTTTAGCCAAAGGGGAATACTTCAAAATTATGAGTATTTTTACTTTCTTTTTTTGTTTCTAAAATTTTCTGCAATGAAAACATAGTTGGCTCTTCTACAAGAGGAAAATAATTAGAAAATTAATTTTAAACTATTTGTACATAGCTTATCTATATATAGTGTTTAATAAGGAGCCACTTAGAATTTTTTTTGTGTGTGGTAGTAGGGATTGAACCCAGGGTTTCACACATGCTAGGCAAGCGCTCTACCACTGAGCTATGCCCTCAGTTCTCAGCTTTTTTTATGAGGGTAAATTAATTACACAAAATAATGATGAGTCTAATTATGACATTTCCATATGTACATATAATGTACTTTGATTATATTTACTGTCTCATTAGCCTCTCTTCTCTCCCCTCCTCCCTCCTGCTGGTCCCTTTCCTATTCTCAAATAGACACTCTTCTACTTTCATTCTTTTTGGAAAGAGTCATGTATGAGAGGAAACCTGTGGCGTCTGTCTTTGAGAGTCTGGCTTATTTTGTTAACATGGCGATGTCCAGTTCCACCCATCTTCCTGCACACATCAGTCCCCAATTCTCAAGTACAAGGAAACACTTGCACGTGATGTGGTAGTGTTGTGCTTTAGTTTACAAAGTGTTTCCCCATCCTAGCTTTGTTGTGTTATTGTTGTTATGTATCAGAACAACGTGGCAAGGAGAGTAACAGCTAGAAAGAGACTAAGCAAGACAGATGAAGGGACACACTCAAGGTCACCTAGTTACCGTGCAGAAGGGCCTCCGTTCAGAGGTTCTCCCTGTAATTCTAGGACTTTTACACTCCCATGCCGTGTTGCTTCTGTATCTTTTGTGAAAAAGCTAGTTTTGAAAAGTCAGCTGGGACTCACTCTGATTCTTGGGAAATTTAAGCAGATAAAAAAGGGTTTTCTTCTGTATTTAATATCCTTGGACAAGGACACCAAACCTTGTAGGCACTTGGTCAGAGCATGATACTCTATAAAATTTAAACATAGGTATTTTTTTTTCTCTTTCTCTGGCTCAAATGAGTCACCTTGCTAGACTGCCAGTCCCCATAGAACTTGATAGGATATGCCAACAGAAATGAGATATTCTACAGCAGCTCCAGACATGAGTTAGTCACCTATCCCTGCAAAAAACTAAGCACCGTCTCCTCCAGGAACCACAGCTCATCAAATGGCCATGAATTCCTTTGCTGACAGTGACTGAATGAAAGGTGTATGGAGTTGTTGCTGTCCTACCTTTCTTGTTTTCCAGTCGTGCCCCTAATTGTACCTGTCTTGTGCATTTCTGGGTATCTGCAATAACGCTGAGTTTCCTTGGCGCCGCCCCCCACCCGAACACACCCTTGTTCCTACACCGGCAGCAGGATGGAAACCCCAGCCCACGCCAGCCCCTACCTACTTATTCATTTGCCTTCCCTTGAAATGTGTGATGAGACTGTCCCTGGAGTGGAGCTATTTTGAGAGGACGATCACTAGAACAATCACTGGCTTGGCAGGAGATGGACAGTGTGGTATAGCCGCAAAAGAAGAAAAGACAGTCATTGAGGATTGGAGTCTTGAATGTCAGCACAGCAGGGAAGCTGGGCACAGTCCGCCTCCGCCCGTGGTCCACTATCGCTGGGTTGCAGTGTTGCCTGCTTGACTTGCAGTAATCACTGGCTCTTCTGTGGCTCACAGCCACCCAGAGCATGCAAAGGAAGGTGGGGAAGAAATGTTTTCCCCAGCACAGCTCCTGGCAGCCAACTCACTGAGAGGCAAGGTGCCTAAGAGGCAAGTTACTGGTTCTGAGTAACGCCAGCTAGCAGATTTCAGAATTGCAAATCCCTCCTTAGGCCAAGGAGAAGCAGTGGAGCCTGAAGGTCAGGAGACCACATCACAGTCTGCCTCACTTCCCAGGGCAGCACCCTGCTGTCCAGGCTTGAAGTTGCACGAGGGGCCCTAGGGACCCCATCCAACTCAGTTCCCCTCTCTCTGTGGCTGAGCCACTCTCTGGAGGGCAGATGTGATTTGCAAGCAGGTGTTCTGCTCGCTCAGGGGCTCTGTTAACTCCTCTCTGGATAATCACTGCCTAGCCTGATACGTATTTCTCTGGATGGATGGACAGGAGACGCATGTAATCCACTTTACGTATTGGTCCCTATAGCACAGACTATGTATGTAATAAAACCCGACAGAACCCTCCATGTCCAGAAACGAAATAGTCCTTCGAGTCCTTCTATCGATCACTGAAGGTTATAAAGATGAGACTGCAAGTAAGTTTCATCGTGAGAGCCAACACTGGTCGATTGGTAGTGGCTGCCGTGAGAATTATGCTGGAGGCGTTTGTGCACTGAGCTCAGTGAGCTAAAGGGCTGACATTGATTAGCAATGTCTGTCACCAGCTAAAGACAAGGAAGGAACTGGTAGCTGACTTGGTATTTGCCAATGGTTTTAAAGCCTTAAATTCTTCCAATTGAATTTTCTAGATGAATACCTTTCCAACACATTTCAACACCAGCTTTGACTGGCTATATGGGTGTTTCCCCTTCAGTGATTTTTTTTTTCTAATGTACTTCATGTTTTTTGCTGAATTTGAGGGAAACTGAGGCAGGAAAACTCCACTTAATTTGTCTCAGGATATACAATTTTTATTGGGAAAGAAAATCAAACTTGGTAGGTATTAATTCATGCCAAATAGCATGTACATTAAAATTTCCACCAGGACAAATTAAGGGAGATATGAGAAGAAAAGTAATGAGCTCCACTACGTCAGCCATCTTATCCACACAACGGGAATAATCTCCCTTTTACAGGGCCAAGGACATCCCAGGAACTTAAGATAGGGACACCACAGAGACATGCCGCCCCCCCCACCCCGCCCTGGTGGAATTTTGGTATATTTTATCACTCTTTTCACATACAGTGGGATGCATCCTAGAGATACCTTAACGAGTTAACCCAGTACCCAGAAGCCCTGCACAGGAAGTACCAGTGTTAACCTCTAGGTCTAGCAAAGCTGGCTCCATCAGGTAGGAGGGTATCTTTTTTTGGTTAAATTCCAGTGACATAAATTTCACAACTTGATGGTTTCAGAATACTTGCTCTGCTATGTCACCATCCCAGCTATTTGATTTCAGACCATTTCTGTAAGTCCCCCAAAGAAATCCCATTCCTCTTAGTATCAGTGTCAATTCCCTCCCAACCACTAATCTACCTTCTGTCTTTCTGGATTTCCCTATTCCAGACACTCACAGAAACAGAACCGTATGATACGTGACCTTTTGTACGTGGTGTAATATGGTGATTTCACAGAACCTGGATGTGACAGCATGCAACAAGGTCTCATTCCTTTCCACGTCTGAATAATATTCAACTGAGTGCACATGCCCCATTCTGTTTATCCATCCTTTCCCTGTTGCACATGGGAGTTGTTTTTTTCCCTTTTTGGCTATGAATACTGGCATGCACTTTGTAAGAAATGTCTCACTTCTCTTTGGGCATATAGCAAGGAGAGAAATGGCTGGGGCCCATAGGAAATCTGCATTTAACTTTTTGAAGACCGTCCAACTCGTTTCCACAGTGGCCACCCTACTTTCATTTGTAACAGCGATGTGCACGGCTCCCATCTCTCCACATTTCACCAACACTTGCTACTGTCCGCGTTTGAATCACGGGACTCCTAATGGCACCAAGTGGTCCATGTGCTACTGTCAAGCATCGTCATACCTGCGCATGGGATGGTGGAAGTCCCCTTCTTATGTAAACACCAAAGAGCGCGTCCTTCCCCAGGGAAATGTTGAACTTTAAGAACTGTGGCTGACTGATGTGAATCTGTGACCTCCAAAACACCCCTGGTGGCACCTCCTGCGTCACCCGCCGACCAACTTCTGCTTCGCCACTGTCTATGCTGCTGTTTTTCAATGACCAGGGCACTGGAAAAGAAGAAGAGGCACCAAGTCAATGACATTTCCTCTTAACTATAAGCTGGAATTCCTTTTTCGTTTGTTTGGACGCTTAGGTTTTAAAGCACCCCGGGCATATGAAATCTTGGCACAATGTATCTAAAAATTCCGTGATTTCTCTTGATTGACCAAGTATAATAAGAGCAGTACACGTAAAGTTTCCAACTACCCTGAATGTGACAGATGTGAAAATTACCAGCAGGGAAGGGGGCGGTGGGGGGTGGGGGGTGGGGGTCAGGTTAATTTGGCACCAAATTTCATCCTGGTAGTCTTTTATTATTCTTTTCAGATATAAACAATTCTAATACACTCTGACACTTGAAGAAAAATCAGTCCAAAATAAATAATACAACTCAGCAGAAAATGAAGACTTGACCTGAAGCTAATATTGGGTTCTGACCTAATGTTTGGTTGGCTCCTTCCTTGAGTTCGAGGGAAGGGTCTAAGGCCACAGAGAAACCACACTTCTCTCTTGGTGACATTACACATCTCGGTTACATTATTTAAATGGTGTATATTGAAAATACCAGTTGCCCACACTCAGCATCCTTCAGGACTGTAGTCGTAGAAATTTGAGAAGTAGCTATTTTGAAAGAGGATTTATTTCTTCCTGACAATGAACCTGCCCTCTTTCCTACACTTCCAGGGTTGGTTTCCTTTGCAACCACAGAGTGAAGGAGAAGCTGGGTCACTCACAGTCGCTCAAGAAAAGCGAGTTAATTTGTGTGTCAGAGTCTCATTTTCTCATCTCTAAAATGGGAAAGGACTGAGTTTGAACTTTGCTATATAAAGGTCGTCTCTGATCCCTTTGAATGGATTTGAACTTGGTAGAAAATACAAAAATCGCACCTTATCATCTTCCTATCTTCCTAAGAACTTCTAAGCCGACTGGCACCAGATGCAGAAAGAACGGAAGCCATGTTTGTGTTGAGCGTCTCTTCCCTTCTGGGGGTGTTGGTCACAGTGGTGGCCCTGTGCAACACGTTTCTGTTTACTTTCTGAAAATCTTTATTCATATACCACATATTGCAAGAGTTTGGACAGTCAGGAGAAATTATTAAATCGGTACAGACTGGCATGAAAAGTAAGTGTGTGTCTCCCATTATTACGGGTCATGAGTTACGGTGTCATGACAAGAATCATTTGCCTTGGCCTCACTTTCCCCATCTGTGAAATGGACAGGTGACAGTTTTGAATCTTTGAAGATCTTCTTTGTCTAAATTATAAAAAAAATATAAAGAGTATATGAAGTTATTTTTGCCTTCTTTTTAACACATGAAGGGATGAGTCATTTTTATTCAGCTCAATGGTGGGTTTAAAAAAAGTCAGCAGGGACTTAAAAACGGGCAGGAGAAACCCTAATTTGGTTCTTCAGAAGAACTGCTGATGTCTAGAATAATAAAATCAGGTAGTGGGCTCCTGAGGGGAGCTGGAATCCCTATCACAAACATCTCAGGAAGAAAAGAGAGCTCAGCAGTGCCAAGTCGTTTGGCCTTTTGGATGGGGACCAGATGGCTTGCCTGTTCACCCGCTGGCTTTTTAGTACTGGACGTTACCTGCAGGTTGGAGGCCATGGCTCAGAGCTTCCGAGCAGAGCCCCTGCCTTGGTTCACATCTTAGTTTTGACACTTGCTAGATCCATCGGCAGTCCGTGTCTCGGTTTCCTCATCTGTCTAGTCGGGGCACTCTTACTATTTATGTCATACGAGGCGCTCTTAGAGCATTTTCCTGCACAAAGTAGGTATCATCATTACAACGGTGAGGTCCTAAGACCTCATACTGTGTTGTTTATTTGGGAGCTTTTGCTAAAATAATCACAAGCTCTGGAAAAAAGATTTATCATCATGAGTTGACTACAAAATTGGGAACTAAATTTTACTCTAAAATGCTACTTTTGACAGACTTCTCCATCTCCCCCACCAAAATAAGGTCTTTGGGGTGAGGGAAGGAATATAATAAAAAAAGACTCAGTTAAGAAAGGGATGTTTTTAAAAAAAAAGCCTCCTGGGAACGAATAGCGGGGGGCCTCTGAGCGACCAAAAGTGGCCCCAGCTGTGTGTGTAGCAAGTTGAAGAGCACTCTGAAAGCAAGAAGGGGCTTTGAATTCACTCTCGTCTCGAAGCTTACTGGACAGGCTTTCCTTACGGCTGAGGGTCTTGGGGCTGCTGGGTTAAGGACAGGGCTAGCAGAGACAGGGTGTCTGCTGCGGGGGCCCTGGGGTCCACGGAGGGAACCAAGGGAGTTTTGATCAGGCCAAGCCAAACATGATGCTGGAGGCGTGTGTGGAAGCTGGGCTCCAGGGAGCAGCTGCTGGGAAAAACCGAGGCAAAGAGCCTCAGAGCTCTGTTCTTAGGGTGTGGGTCCCCTTCTTTTCCTAGACTCCAGCTTCAGGACACTGAGCTCCAGAAATCAGCTGTCCTTCCCAGTGAGTGGAGGTCACCTTTTCAGAAGCCCCTCTACCCTGGGTTTTAGATGCTTCCCTTGCTTCTTATCCTATCCTCCATGTGGGGCAAGACCCCTGGGGGTAAAGGGCTGGGTCTGGTTCTTCCATACTGTGTGACCTCCAGCAATTTGCTGAACCTCTCTGTGCCCCCAATCCTTTTGTGTAAAATGAAAGCCATAATACCAACTACGACCTAGGGCAGGAGTAACAAGTGGAAATACACGAGGAAGAACTTAACACAGAGGGTCTAGCATGTAGTAATAGCCAAATAAATGCTAGTTATATGGAATGGAAAAAAGTCATAAAATGAAATAAAAGAATGAAAAACTATACAGAAAAGCACATGGCTTTCTTTTCAGAGTAAAAGAAATTCTTTTCTGCAGTGCTGGGCTTTGAACTGAGGTCCTCGTGCTTCTTCAGCAGGTGCCCTACAGCTTGAGCCACACCCCCAGCTCTCTTCCACGTTAGTTATTTTTGGGTAGGGTCTTGAGTTTTTGCTAGGGCTCTGCCTGCAGTTCTCTTACCTATGCCTCCCATGTAGCTGAGATTATAGGCGTACATCACACCCAGCCTGATAAAGGATCTTGTGAAAATGCAGAAAACTCTGGGTGTGTAATACCTGACACACACGCATGTTCACACACATGTGTGTATGTCTATTTGTAAGTGTCTGCCTATGCAGAGAGTCCAATTTTTCTGAACAGACTTAACTAGGAGAGCAAATTTACAACAGGGAAGCTCTACCTTTCTTTATTCCCCACCTGTGCCTGGTCCTGACCAGCAGCAAATCCTCTGTATTTGTCCTCTTGCTTCTCAGGGGGCTTTGGCACCTTCCTGGGTGACCTCCTGGCAGGACACTGAGCTCCCTGGGGGCAGGAGGGCTGTGGAGTCACCTGTGTCTTGCTGTGCTTTGCCTGGCCAACTGTGTGCACTGCGTGACGATGCCTGCTGAGCTGCCTGGAGCTGCACCCGCCCATCTGGTGGGGAAATTTGAATCAAACCCTGGGAGGACCAGGTGACAACAATGCCTTAAGGAAGATTGACTTTGAGAAGCTGCGGGTAGACTGAACTTTTTAAAAAAAAATTAAATTACCTTCTGAGAACTCTATGTGGAATTTGCTACTTAAGGAAGCTTCCTATGGGCCCTTCTGAAGAACCTCGAGTAAACACCTCATTTTTCTTTGTGTAAAATCTTACCAGAAAACAATCACACCTGGAGCCGTGGGCACAGTGGATCGGCCCTTTAGATTAAGAACCAAAAGACCAGGGTCCTGACCTTGGTACTTACTGACCTTGGTGCCTTTGCGGAAGCAGCTGACGGAATGAGCTATTCTGGGATGAAATCCTGTTTCGGCCCCGTGGCTGAGCAGCTGTGGTTTTAGGAGTGGATCTCAGTGTCTGCCTCTACTTGGAACTGGTTGTGACTCAAAGATGGTGCTGCAGAGCGGGTGATGGCGGCCGCTCTCAGTATGTGATGGGGGGTGTTGAGGGGTCAGTGAGCAGGCAGGAGGAGGGCTTAGCACAGAGCCTTTGAGGCTGGCTGAGTGACAGGTGACTTGAATTTTAACCAACTCAGCACCCATAGTGGAAGCTGCCTACCCCATTAACTGGCAAACTGAGCTTCCAAACGAACCTCTCCAGCCTGCGACTGAATTGTGCTTCTGCAAGAAGGGCTTTTCACTTCCTCATTCACGTGTACATGCGTGTATATAAATGACATTTTCATTTTGAAATTATTTCAGATGTACCTTGTAAGTCAAAAGTGTTACAAAGATTTTCTGCAACTTTAACCTAAGTACTATACAAACGTGCTTTACCATTCTCTCTCCCTCTCCTCTCTCTCTCCATTTCTCTTTCCCTCTTTCTCTCTCGCTTTCTGTATGCACATGTATCTCTATATATGCTCGTATACACTCAGCCTCCACATCTGTAGATCCCCCATATGTGGATGTAATGAAACACATATCAAAAATATTAAAAAATTGTACCTGAACTAAACACGTGCAGATTCTTTTTCCTGTCACCATTCGCCGAACACTGCAGTGTAACCACTGTTTACACTGCATTGACAGATGTCAAGTAGTGAGGACTTAATGTGTACAGGGGGTGTGCACAGGTGACACCACACCAAGGGACTTGAGCATCGGCAGATTTTAGTGTGTGGGGGCTGTACCAGGTCCTCACAGACACAGCGATGACGATGGTGTGTGTGTGTGTTTCTATATGCAGGTATACGTGTGTGTATTTCTATATGCATACATATATGTATACATGTGTGTGTTTTTCTCAAAACAGGGCCTTCTTTTCCAGAACCCCAGCACAGCACCAAAAACTAGGGAACTCACATTGCTACAAGGCGATACTCAGTCCACAGATATCATTCCGTTTTGCCAGTGGTTGCACTAATCCTCCTCACAGCAAGATAGAGAGCAATTTTTTCCATCTACTTTTAAAAAAATCTTGAAAATGAGCATGCTTAACTGTTGTAGTTTTAAGAACAGTGAAAGAGACAAAAATGCTGTACAAA